GACTGAGGGAGACTGAGGGAGACTGAGGGGGACTGAGGGAGACTGAGGGAGGGTCTGATGGACGTCAGTGAGAGTGTAAGGTTCAAACGCCTCACACACACACACCTAATATTCAGAAGCACAACGATTTAACCTCTAAAAAACTATCCCAAAAATGTATGTATTTATAATTTATTTATTTATTTATTTTCGTTTGTTGTTTAACTATTTATGTAGGAGTGAGGGTCACGTGGTTGTTTTTGATCAGAATACGATACGATTTTATATTATTTATTTTATAAACTATTACATTTTTATTGATTCTGTGAATTTTATGTATAAATCTATTTTTCCTTAACACCATCTCATCAGTCATGGGTAAACAGTTACGATTATATTGTTTTAAGTTGAAGTCACAATTCTAACATTTGATTAAGCTGGGTCTTAATTTTAATAACTATTAAATATTAGTATATCAAATACAAATATTCATAATTGTGATGTAAAATTGAATTTAAGAAATGTGAAAAATATCTTTAATGAAAACATAAACAAATAATTTCAGTTATTTGTTTATCAGTTGTTGTTTTTTAAATAACACTGAAAAGTACATTTTGTATCTGAGTTCCTGACTGACTCCTAACCAAAAGATTGTATCTCTCAGTTATACATATTCAACTTTATTTTTTTAAGTTCTATATTTTAGTCTTACCTTTTCAATGGAAAAAAAGTAATTTCATAATTATCCAAAGCACTTAACTTCAACACAATTTTCTCTTCCGAACCTGTGCGCCGTTCTTCTGCGAACACAAAGGCTGTACAACACAAAGGCAACCTACACTCCTTTGTGAGGTCTGCGCAGCTTAGACTTACATATATATTTAAGAAGAGAATATGAATTGTGCTGCTGCTGTAGGGAACATAAATTTGCCTACCTAGCTCTAGAAAGGCGCAGCTGCACATCCAAAAGGGTCAGTGTTATTTCGCTGTATTCTCCTCTTGATTATACGAGCTCAGCCCATCAAACCCAGGCATAATTACAGTCATTTCGCCCTTATTTATTCTAATGCAGTTTCCTATCCCCGAGGTAATTATGAGCAATTTTTTTTCACATGGAGGGTCTTTTTTGGCGTTGACAAAAGAGATAGTGCTCCAAAAGAATAGTGCTGCAGCCTAAAAAAAAAAAAAAAACTAAATCTAAAATAGAGAAATAGGTGAGCTGCTGCTGCTGCCTCTTCTTCTTCTTTAGACTTAGCCTATGCATAAGGCAAGCAAATTGCTTGCAGGTGTACATTACTGGGTTGTCAATGCATCAAAATTAGCAGAGCACAAAGCAGGAGTAATGAAGGCAGTGAGCAAATGAAAAGAGCAACTTGTGTGTCTCCTCATCACCATCCTCACATTTGCTCCCAGTGTGAGTCAGGCTGCTGCTGCTGTTACTGCCGCTGCTGCAGTACTTTTCCATACAAAAACAACCATGCTCACTCCTTGCTCTCACAGAAAATACAATATATCTTAAAGTAGTCTTAAAAACATATTGGACCTCCCCCCCTTTAAAAACAAACACACTGCTTTTTCCAATAATATCCAAAAAATGATCACGTACATACCTCACAGACTGCTGTTGAAGAGGCCAGTTCCATCGTGGAGGAGCATCATCTTCGTCCTGCAGCAAAGACAAAACCACAAGATGCATAAATCCCACAAAAATGTCCCAAGCGTGTGGTGGTCTGCAGCTACAGCGGCAGAGTTGAGGATATGTCTGAGAATGTCTGCTTTTTGTCCCTCTTTATAGCTGATGGAGGGGAAAATGTAGATTATTAGCATAAATGTTTACTCCTCATTACGCTGATGACATTGTGCTCTCGAGATCTTGGTAATCTTTGGGGGGAAATTATGAGTAATTTTTTTTAAATTTTAAAGCAGCAGCCACCATGCAATTCAGGCTAATACTGCGTAGGCTCCATGCAGATATAATTACCATTGAGTCAAGATGTGACGCTAAAAACTATGCATTGATATTCCCATGTATTATGTACATACAACTTTGACGATGTTGATGCTTGAAATAGCAGGAAATGGTACTGTTTAAAAAAATTGCAATCCCATATTAGGACATCTGAAATTGCCAAGAATTATATAGTA